CCCGGGCTTCGCTCCCTGCTTCCCGCAGCCACAGGCTTCCACCTCGCCCCCACTCCTGGCACTGCCAACTCAAGCTCTGCTCATCCCGCACTGGCTCCCGTGTTGAAATGGACTTTATTTCCTGGAGCTGGCGTGGGATGCTTTGAAAACACTGCCGCAAACTTGTAAAAAGGTCCCTAAAACCAAGCTGGAGGCTTCACCAGCAAAGACGCTGCCAGCCCCGACCTTCTCACGCCACATCCCAGCCCCGCTGGCAGGCAGGACCCGCTGATATCTTCCCGCTGCCAGTTGCAAAAGTTTTCACCAAAAACATAACGGAAGTGTGGAAGGGTGCGGGCTGTTGCCCAGTTTTAGCATGTGTTACTCAAAAATGAGGGAGAAGTTTGGACATCACAAAAAACACAATGGGATGATTTCTGACTCCGGGGCGATTGCTCTGGGATGCCAGTATTGATGGCCAGGGAGTGGAGTTCAGCTCTCGCTAAGTGGTTTATGGCATTTTTATCTTTCATTTAGCCAAAAAATAAGAAAGGGGAAAAAAATTCAAGAAAGTGTGTGGAAAAACAAAGGATGTTCACAACCTTCTAAGCTGGTCAAAAAGGATCTGTGTAACGGGACAGATGTGTTAAGGGGAACAAGAACTGTCTGGCTGTGGGAGCAGGGTCAAGCCGGGCACCTCGAACGTGGTGGCAGTGATTTTGGGAAGGGAATGTTGGGGTTGATGCTCAGTACTGTCCCGGCTCCCGTGGTTTGGTGTGCACTGCGGCGGAGTGTCCCGGGGGCAGGAGGTGAGCGCCTTGGCCACCACCGGGGTCTGCCCTGCGAGTCATCCTCGAGGCGGACACGGAGGTTTGGTGGTCCATCGCCCATCCTGCCTGTGCCGGTGTGTCCCGCTGCTCAGGGCATGGGTGTGCTGGTGGTCACCGTTCGGCGTTGTGGGGTCTGCTCAGCCTTCGCCCCGGTGCCAGCCCTCCCTCCCCTCTCCCACTGGGATGTGTGCCTGGCCCAAGGAGCGAAGCCACGGTCGTGTTTCAGCACTAGCCCAGTTGGATAAAGGCGTCAGCTGCGTGGGTTTCCCCTTCATGGAGATCTTGTTGTCTTCAGCTTTCGGTTTGCTGGTCTTTCGTGAGTCTTTTTTTTTTTTTTTTTTTTTCCTTTTTTTTCTTTTGGGCAACTTGACTGAGGGTCGCTCAGAGGTGCCAGGAGGCAGCGCACAAAGGAAGGGGACTGGAGTGTTCATCCCTGGAGGGTCGGGGACAGTAGCAGTGCCCGCATGGGGGAGAGTGGAGCCATGAATGTGGGAAGGGTC